CAATCCTTTCGACGAGTCAAGGAACATCTCGCTCAAGCCACCTCGCTCGCATTTCCAGACAGCAATGCAAACTCTCGTTGCAAACAGACGCTTCAGACAAAGCAATCGGCGCGGTATTGCAACAGCACAGCAACGGATTTTTCCAACCACTCAGCTTCTTTTCAAGGAAACGCCTACACAAACTAAGTATAGTGCATATGATAGAGAACTATTAGCTATCTATGCGGCTATCAAACATTTTCGATATATGTTAGAGGGACGAAATTTTCACGTTATCATGGATCATAAACCTCTCATTTACGCATTCAAGAAGAAGTCAGAACAAATGTCGCCAAGACAAACTCGTCATCTACTCTTCATTTCAGACTTCACAACTGATATACGTTTCAGGCGCCGATAACATCGTAGCAGATGCATTATCTTGCGCCGACACTATCGTGATGCCAACTAGTCTCGACATGCAGCAGACTGCAGAAGCTCAAGTCTCGGATGATGAGTTGCAGCAACTGAAGCAATCCACATCAACGTCTTTGAAGTCCAAAAAGTTTACCTTATCGGAAACAGCATCCACCATTTACTGTGACACTTCAGAGCAAGAGATCAGACCTTACATTTCCGGACCACTACGAAGGCGAGTTTTCGACATGGTGCATCAAATGTCGCATACAAGCGGCAGAGCAACTCACCGGCAAATTGCATAAAAATTCGTGTGGCCTTCTAAATGGATAATGTCTAAAGACATTAAAGAGTGGGCCCGCACTTATCTAGCATGCCAACAATCTAAAATTCATCGTCATAACCACACCCCACCCATCAAAATACCAATACCAGATACTCGTTTCGAGCATGTACATATCGAAATCGTTGATCCTCTACCTCCAAAAGTTTCAGGTATTTATTAACAATGATTGATTTACTCGATGGCCGAAAGCTATCCCATTACAGGATTGTACAGCAAACACGGTAGCGAAGATATTTTTCACCCACTGGGTAGCCAGAGAGCCCTTCGGAGTTCCACGCTTGATCACGACCGCTCAAGGCTTGCAATTTGAAGCGCAGCTGTACGACACATTAACTAAACTCAAACTTGGCTCTAAACGTTGTCGGAAAACTGCATATCACCCGGAGTCTAATGGCATCATCGAACGATGGCATCGCTCTCTTAAAACAGCATTAATGTGTCACGGCGAAACTCAATGGACTGACACACTGCCAGTAGTATTACTAGGATTGAGAACTTGTCTCAAAGAAGATCTAGGCGCTTCGGTAGCGGAATTAGTGTACGGCATTACGCTCAAGGTATCAGGCGAATTTTTCTCCTCTGAAGAAATGCCGAGCGACCCAC